AACAACAACAACACCCTCAGGATTTGCCACGAGTGGAAGGGAGACATTTCTAGCCAAACCGAAAGGTCAGAGACTGAGGCTCCGGCCACCCACCCACCCACGCATCCGGAGTGCATGCTTGCCGCAGCCTGTTCTTCCTCCAGCCTATTTAGAGATCAGCAATTCTGGGGACGGCTGTTTTGGATTGCCTGCACCGCCCCCCACACTCTCCCCCCCCCAGTGCAAAGTAATTGTGATGCATGGGAAGCGAGGCACAAGCAAAGCAAAGCATCGGAACGGAACCGAATGAGAAATTCTTCCAATTAGCCATCTCGGCAGGAGAAGAAAACGGTTTCCTTAGGAGTCTCCAACAGCTGGGTCACCCCTGAGATCTTTTATTTATTAGGATGCTTTTCTGCAAGACAGTCGACTTACAAGGTGAGAGCAGGAAAGCAAGCTCTTCTATCTCTCCCTGGAGAAGGAGAACCTCAGCCTTGTTCGGTGGCTGAGGTCAACTCTCGGGCCTTTGGGAAGATCACGGATGAGTGAGACTCAAAAGATAACCACAGCATCTTCCTTCATGGTCTGCTTCAAAATCCGGTGCTGGACTCACTCATTTGAATGATGGGGACATCCCCTATCTTGGGCCACTTCTGATAACAGATTAACTGAGTTGGAAGGGACCCTGTAGGTCATCTAGTTCAACCTCCCTCCCAAGCAGGAGACCCTACACCATTTCTGACCAATGGCAGTCCAGTCTCTTCTTGAAAGCCTCCAGTGATGAAGAAGCTCCCACCACTTCCAAAGGCAAATTCTGTTCCTTGGGTTGATGGATCTCATTGTCAGAAAATTCCTCTTTATTTCCAGGTTGAATCTCTCCTTGATCAGTTTCCATCTATTGCTTGTCTGGCCTTCAAAGGTGCCTTGGAAAATAGCTGGACCCCTTCCTTCTCTCGTGGCAGCCCCTCAAATATGGGAAGACTGCTATCCTGTCTCCCCTTCTCTTCATTAAACTAGCCAGGCCCAGTTCCTGCAACCCTTCTTCATGTTTTAGTTTCCAGGCCTTTGATCATCTTAGCTAGATTCAGATTAACAGAGGTGGAAGGGACCTTGTAGGACATGTAGTCCAACCAGAGATGGTATTCAGCAGGTTCTGACCAGTTTTGGAGAACCGGTAGTGGAAATTTTGAGTAGTTTGGAGAACCGGCAAATACCATCTCTGACTGGAGATTTTACAGTATCCTTTCCCTGCCATGCCCATCGAGCCACACCCATAGAACCGGTAGTAAAAAAATTTGAATCCCACCACTGAGTCCAACCCCCTTGCCCCAGCAGGAGACCCTACACCATTTCTGACCAATGGCCATCTCTCCAGTGATGAAGCTCCCACAACGTCCGAAGGCAACTTCTGTTCCATCGGTTGACTGTTTCCCCTGTCAGAAAACTTCTTATTTCTAGGTTGAATCTCTCCTTGTTCCGTTTCCATCCATTATTCCTTGACTGGCCTTTGGGTGCTTTGGAAAACAGCTGGATCCCTTCTGAAGAACATCTGAACATCACAGCCCAAGGCAGTATCCAAAACATTTTACGGAGCTTCGCTTGGTGGCCCTGATTGTATACCCCCTTATGTGGGATTCACATGTATGTCTAAGTCAATTCAAGATTTCATTTGTACCCCTAAAAGCTGATTTGAAGCCAGGTCCTTGGAAAGACCAAGTGTTCTCCAAAGATCCCGTTGGCTAGTTCTTCTGAGATCTCACTACAAAGAAAGCCCAGCTAGATGGGGACTATCAATTTTATTTTAATCTATTTATTAACGAGAGCTTAGCTTGCCTTTTGTTCAGGGTGTTTTAGGATGAGCCGAGAAGACAGCCGGTCATGGGTCCAAAATCACCCAGGGAATTCAGTAGCTAAAGATAGTCTAGGTTTCCTTGAGGCTAGTCCAACGCATTAACTCTACGACACCCAGCTTTCATATTTACTTCTTGTAATTTAATGCTAGCTTCTTCTCCGGAAACGAAAAGATGCCATGAATAATTCATCCCAAACCTGCCTTGCCATCTTCTTTATAACACCATAAGTGAGATTGGGGTGGACGATGCCGAGGAGCGAGTGGTCAACCAGGCATGGCCAAGTGGGCGATGAACAGCACACATTAACCAAATTTCCTTTCTTAAACAGACGTTTGCAACATCAAGATCTACTGGCTTCAAGCTTCAGCCCTTTGTTGTGTTTTCCCCCCCCCAGAAGTCACCTATCATATTAATTAATGAATTGAATATCTCAAGAAAGGCAACCCTTTAAAAATGTTTCCTTCTTTTTTTCCTTCCTTCTTTCCTTCCTTCTCTCTTTCTCCCTTTCTTTCTTTCTTTCTTTCTTTCTTTCTTTCTTTCTTTCTTTCTTCTTTCTTTCTTTCTTTCTTTCTTTTTTCTTTCTCTCTCTCTCTCTCTCTCCCTCCCTTTTCCCTTCCTTCTTTCTTCTTCCTTCCTTCCTCCCCCTTCCTTTTTTCTTTCTTTCTTTCTTTTCTCCCTCCCTTTTCCCTCCCTCCCTTCCTCCCCCTCCCTCTTTCTTTCTTCATTTCTTTCTTTCTTTTCTTTCTCTCTCCCTCCCTTTTCCCCCTCCCTCCCTCCCTCCCTTCCTCCCTTCCTTTCCTTCCTTCCCCCCTTTCTCCCTCCCTCCCTCCCTCTCTTTTCCTCCACCATCAACTAAAGATGATTGAATGTTCTTTATTAAACACGTAAGAAGAAAGATCCCAAGATCAAATCTGACACAAAATATCCCCGGACTATCGGATCAGAAGCAAACCACGAATCTACTTATTGCCAGCCTGGATGGAGCCTGTCAAGAGCCCTATCAGACAAATCTCTTTAATATCTCACGCACCACCTTCTCCCCACGGCAGAGGCTTATTGGAGTCATAACTCGCAGCCATAAAAAAAGTGGAAATAATATTAGGACATTTTCCTGCTTAGTTACTTTTAAACTGCCGCAGTTCACCCCAGGTGAGCAGGAAAGTTGACCTCATGGGCAAGGATTCAGCATTAATTCAACAGAGTCTTTTGCACACCCCAGATAAATTTACTTGAATAAACTAAGATTTAGAGGCTCTAAACCTTCTAAAAGAAACATGAGATTTAGAATGGAGACCATATCACCCTAGGGCTGCAAGGGGAGCTTGGAGGTCTTCCAGCAACCCCCTGCTCAAAGCAAGACACCATATAGCTTATACCATCCTGGTCAAATGGCTGTCCAATTCCTACAGGTAGTCCTCAACTTACGTCTATTTCTTTAGTGACTACCCGCAGTTACAACAGCAAAGTGCCCTATAATCCCTTTTCTCACACTTAGGACCATTGCAAGAGCCCCAAGGGCCACGTAATGAACATTCAGACCAACTCATATTTATGACGGTTGCCGTGTCCCGGGGAGCTCACGCGATTCCCTTTTGCAACCCTCTGACCAGCAAAGTCAATTTGGGAAGCCAGATTCCCTTAACAACTGTCTTACTGACTTAACAACTGCAGTGATTCTGTCCTGCCCCTGTCGGAGTCTGAATCCAAGGAGGAAGACGAACAGCTGACAGGGAGTGGGAGTGTGGCTCCGTTGGCTGTGGAGGAAACTGGGGAAGGGCAAAGTCCAGCTGGGCAGAGGAGGGGAGAGGTAGAACATGGGAGAGGGAATTCAGACGAAGACCCAGGCCCACCCCTCTTGATCCTAGGGCATGCAGAGAGGAACAGAGAAGGGAGCAACATAGGTTGCAGGGCTTATGGGGGAGGAAAGAGCCCTGATTCCCTTCATTAGCCACAGCTGGGAAGAGAGTTTAAAAGAGATACATGCTGAGTGCAGTGTCTGCTGGGAACAAACATGAGTTTATCTTGTGTGACTTTGGTTATCTGCGTTCCTGGCAGCCTCCCAACTGGGTTGAATTACTGCCGTTCCTTCACATCTGGAATTCCTTCTCCTAGCCCTTCTGGACTAATTACCTCATTTTGCCTTGATTGGACTTATAGTTACAGTTTTTGTTGACCATGTTTTGGACTTGACTCTCTGCAGCCAAAGGCTGTTCCTAGGAGAGTTTTTCTCCAGCCAGAAGGTAACCAGGACATTGAGGGCAAAGTTGGAGCTAATAAAGGGATTCCTACTAATTATCTGACTGTGTTGCCTTTGTGCCATGCCCCAGGTCATCACAGATTCACTAAATGCAAATGGCAAGAACAGTCCTAAAATGGGGGCAAAACTCACTTAACAAACGTCTTACTTAGCAACAGACACATTGGGCTCGATTGTCTAGGACTACCCATATTCTTTCGGGAGTCCAAAGCAAGGCAGATCATCCCATCAAAAAACAACAACACAAAACAGACACTTACTGATGTATATAAGTAGCCTTCACTGTTCATCGCTAAATACAGCTTCGTCTGAACGCCTTGTATAGCCACCACTCGTAAACCCACCGGTATGAGGTTAAACAAAGCTAGGAGAAAAAGGGGAAAAAAAGTTAGTCCCTCAGTCTGAATTGTGGAAACAAAACCAGATTTTGTTATGCCAGTACAAAGGGAAGAAAAATAATATTTTTTGGGCATGCGTGCAAAAGTCATACACCCTTTTTTTAAAACAAAAAACCCAAACTGACATGCATAAGCAAAGAATTTCCTTGGGAATCTTTCTGGATCAAGTTGACCATGGAATAAGTCTTGCATTTCCTAACTCATTGGCAGGCTTCCAGGATAGGTTGGACTACAACTCCCAGGGTCCTCAGCCAAAGCGCCCAAGAGACCAGAAAGAAGGTTTATGAGGGGTCCTTGGTGCTCTCTGAGTTTGCTTCTTTTCTTGCAGATGTTTCATGACCCAAACTATGTAACGTCATCAGTTCTAGTAAAAAGTGCAGTTTGCTGTCAGTAACTGACAATGAACAGCACTCCTTACTACGTAGAACTGATGATGTTACCTAGTTGGGTCATGAAACGTCTGCAAGAAAACAAGCAAACTCAGAGAGCACCAAGGACCCCTCACTTCAACCCTGAGCTACAAATATTCTCCTTTAAAAATGGTCGATAGCAGAGAGTCTTCCATTTTATTGTCTGAGGGACCGTCTCTTGCCGGTCACATCTACCCAACCTGGTAGAGCAAGGCGGCAAGGAATGTTGTGGGTCCTATCTCCTAAGGAGATACATCTGGTGGGACCCAGAAGAAGGGCCTCCTCCATCCCTCTGGAACATTATCCCTCTGGAAATTAGGCTGGCCTTCACTCTTTTGGAAGGCCCTGAAGACGTGGTTCTGCCAGTGGCCCTGGGGAACCCAGAGTGGGATGGAGCCCATTGAATGCCTGGTACGAGTGTGTGTTGTCAGGTGCAGTGGCCTAGAGGTGGAGCTCTCGCCTCACAATCAGGAGTTTGTGAGTTCAATCCTAGGTAGAGGCAGCTATTTCTCTCTCTGGGCACGATGAGTGTATATCTGCCAAACAAAACTCCTCATTGGTGACAGGAAGGGCATCCGGCCATTAAACAGTCTGCTAACTCCATTCAGTTGCCCATACTCCACCCCTCAAGGGATTATGGGGTCATTCAAAGACAATGATGATGAGTGTCACCACGATGGGAGGTTATTTATTTTATTATTTTTATTTTTTAATTCCTATCAACCCCAAGCTACCAGCAGGGAAGAGAGGCTGAAGTCACCCAAACAATGTTAGAATCCACGTTAACAAGTTCCCATTCTCTTCCACTCTATGGAGATCCATCTATATGAATTAACTGAGAGATTGGATCTCCATAGACTAGAAGAGAATGGTCAATCCTTCCCATTTTTCTTACTTCAAAAATAGGGACGCCTAAGCCAACACAGAAAGGTTCCTTAACCAATGCAAAGCAAATGTTCCACAGGATATATCTTAAAGGATGCTCCTTTCAGCAGAAATCAATTGATTTGGTGAGTTCAGCCCCAGGCATCATTCAGCCATCCAAACCAACAGCTTCACCCTCCAAAATTCCTTGCAACCCTGCAAATGTTTCAGCAATATTTCATACTCATGGCAGGGGAAGAGATGTTGGCTGGTAAAAGCTCATGTTAACATCAAGACATATTATTTAGCAGTTGCCAAAGTGCATAAGTTGCTGTCAAACTTTCCAGAGAAGCTGTAGATAAAAGTCCAAGAATTTTCAGCAGAAATTCCTCCAGTGCCAAAATAGAGTAGCCAGAATTAGGAACGGTTGAAGTCGTGTTTTATGGGGTTATGGCTTCCCATCCAACAGCATTGTCAATGCATAGGTTGGACAAACTTAGGTGTAGGAGATGTAGGACCACAAACTTTGGTCTCTTGATCTATAAAAGGACCGATGGACGGATGGATGGATCAATGGAGAGAGGGATGGATAGGTGCATGGATGGATTGTGGGCAGACGTGAGATTCCAGGTTGCTCTTTGACAGCAGTAGCTCTTCAACCTTTCAGATGGAGATGTTTCCTCATCCTTTCCACAGGAGTAGGAACTAAAGATGGGACTTCAGCATTGAATCAGCCGTTCTCTGTCACCAAATCCTCTGAAAATCCTTAAAGATAGCAGAGAAGGCATTTGCCTAACCCCACACAAATTTGGCTGCTGTTTACTTCAATGGAAAATAATAAAATAAAAGCTGAAGATGTCCTCCTAATCTTGGTTGGGGAATACAGATGTGACTTCTCTTGGGTCTCTTTGAAATTCTACTGTCATGGAATTTACTGGAGAAGAGAAGAGCAACAACAACAACAGAAAGATTTGAAATGTGTGTTGTTTTTTTTGCAGAAGAAATGGCCATCTTATCTCTGTTCTGAATTTTAGAACCCGGGAAGCAAACCATTCTATTTCAAGCAATGTATTACTTGGGGCGAGAATGATAAGATCCTCTTTTGGAAAGCATAAATGAAGGTTTGCATCGGAAGGGAAGAATTGAAATAGTTTCCTAATCTGTGCACCACCACACTCAAAAGGTTATTTCTCCCCCAATTCATACACGTCCTATTTACTGAAATATGCTAATGCTCCGTTGCACACCGTAACACAGCAGAAGGGGAAGGGAGACAAATGGAACGGAACCTCAAGATTTATGGAAACAAAATGTCCACCACGATTAATTGCTACCAACCATCACCATCACTACGGAAGTGGAAGCATTTAATTCTCCTTATTCTGACAGTAGCAGTATGGTTTTAAGTCAGGTAAAAATGGAATGGGAAAGGAACGTTTCCTGATCGGATCATGAAAAACCCAATCCAAAATAAACTGATGGTGAATTCATCCCTATATATCCATGGAGAGGATGTTTGGGCCAGTTTTGCAGAAAGCAGATGTACCTCTGTAGGTTTATCTAGTGTCTAAGTGTTTCTCTCCTTTGGCAGGTTGAAGAGCAAACACGAACGCAGCAATGACATCACTTCCAAATGAGCCCGGCCTTCGGAAAAACACCCATGCATATGGGCCACTAGCAGATTGTGCAAACAAACCAAACTGGCTCTTTTATGTCTAACAATATACTCACTGTATGTGCTTTCTTCCTCTTTCGTTCCATCAATGGTTCCATCTGCTTGCATCTGCAAATGATATCCTTGCCGGCTGTAAAGTTTTGTGACGATGCCTTTCAGCTGTGGTTCTGTCAAAGCAAAACAAACAAGCAGGAGATGTTAGAAACCTGAATCCGTTGTTGTATCCATGTCGGGTTCAAGCAGGTCAAAAGCTTTGCCTCGGGGATTTTTTCCCCCAAGAAGAAAGAAACAGGATTAGAAACTTTCCTATGATTTGAAGTAGAGGATAGATAGATAGACAGACAGGCAGGGAGATAGGCAGACAGAAAGAAAGATAGACAGGGAAGGAAGGAAGGACAGGCAGATAGATAAATGGACAAGATAGATAGATAGATAGATAGATAGATAGATAGATAGACAGATAGATAGATATAGAATAACAGAACAACAGAGTTGGAAGGGGCCTTGGAGGTCTTCTAGTCCAAACCCCTGCTTAGGCAGGAAACCCTATACTAGTAGTTAGGGAAGGAAGGAAGGACAGGTAGATAGATAAATGGACAAGATAGATAGATAGGGAAGGAAGGAAGGAAGGAAGGAAGGAAAGAAGGAAGGACAGGTAGATAAATAGATAGATAGATAGATAGATAGATAGATAGATAGATAGATAGATAGATAGATATAGGGATAAATGTTTCTGTGTGTGTGAGAGAGAGAAAGAGAAAGAGAGGGAGGGAGAGAGAGAGAGAGAGAGAGAGAGAGAGATTAAATCAGCACCTTGGACAGCAACTGCTCTGCAGGCTATAAAGCTCTGTGGATGCTATTAAATCCTGAAAAACTTCATAGAGGATCAAAATTCCAACATATTACATGGCCGAAGGAGCAAAGACTAGATTTCTGTTAAGATTAGAAAGGCACCAGCTAGAAGGAAACTTAATTATTTTTAACGATCTGACATTCTTTAAGAGAGGAACAGGGTTGCTAAAATGGTGGCTAGTTGATCACATATGGCCTACCAGCCTGTGAATAGGCAATAGCACAGATAGGGGTTTGTCTGAGGCATAGAGCATTGTATGAATCTAACCACTTGGGTTAATAACCTTTGTTTACAGAGTAACTGTGAACCCTGCTAATTATAGCCTGAGCGATAAAATCTTAAGAACCACCATGACTTTAGTGAGGTTGGTCATGTCCAAAAACTCAAGGGTCGCGGTTTCAAAGAATACAAATTTTAGGATTGTCCACAAAAATATAATTGTTACTATTGGTCAGGAAACATGCTAATCTTTTAAATATTTTTTGGCTGTTGAGCACATTCAACTCAGAGTTTCAACCTTCCCCAAGCTGGGGAAATTCATCCCTGCTCCAATATTTGCATGGTCCTTTTAAGATGGAAACCACTTAATGGCACAGTCACAAAACCTCTTCATACACCACCATGGATGTTAATCCTGCTGGAACAAGCATCTGAAGTTAAAGAGAGATTCTCACTGAATCCCATCCATAGAAATACCCCCCCAAGACCTCGGAGGGCCAAAATCCAAAATTTAAACTCAGCCTCATGTAAAACATCAAAGGAAATCTCCTTCCACAAAATACTGCGATGACATGCAACCTAGTTTGTTTGACATGATCATGGGGGGGAATCTGTCTTAGATCAAAACTCAAGCCCAGTTAGGAAAGAACAAGTCAACTTCAGTTGACAGAAAATGTGGGTTCTATTCTCAAACCCCTGAAATTAATATTTTCCCATATCACCTAACCAAGATCTGAATAGACACAACCTGCTTTGTGAACACTGCACACTGACCAAGCGATCCTGTTAATCTGATTTCCACTCCAGAGCACAACTCACTTTAACCAAACATTTAAGGAAGAGGGCAGGTTAAGGCGTATCTATCTATGATAGAGATATAGAGTGTGGGTCCCCAATTACAAAGAGCTTCTGGAAACCATAAAAGGCCCTCACCCTGCCAAGACTCCTAAAAGTTGTGTCACAGGAGCAGAAGGGCAATAAAATACATGCCAGGGGTGTAAGTATATCACATCTCTTTCGTCACAATCCACTTAAAATGACAGTGAATTGACAGCCAATCTGGTTGTCTACAGAGATTCTCCGTCATTCAAGTCATGATTGTCCCAAAACTGCTTTTCCAAAAAAAACAACTAGGCTTTCTTAGTTTGTTTTCCTTTGAAAACATGTTGCTTCTCACCCCAGAATCTTCTTCCGTTCTAGCTGACCGGCGGGGAATGAAAAGATTTATATTCTTTGCAGTCCTGTTTGCAGAATATAAACCCTTCCATTCCGTCCCTGCTCCCAGTTGATTTAGAACTGAAGCTCCTTGGATGAGAAACTAAACGTCTTCAAAGAAAGAAAATCCAGTTTGGGTGGGTGGGTGGAGGAAAACCACCTTTGAGATAACCAACCTGGTCCTTCACCTGGAGTTAGGTCTACTGTTCCAAGTAAGGCTGTTTCACAGGAAAGAAAAAAAAAGTTGCGTAGCCCTCAGCCAGTGGCAAACAGGGTTTTGAAGACACTTTGGTTACGTTAGCTGTTCTCCTTGGAGGGCAGCTGTGACTGTTTCCTGGATAGCAAATTTGGTTGCTGCGTAACAATTAAAACAGCCTGTAGTTTCCACCCATCTAGAAGGGTCTCTTCTGTGCAAGCAGGCTGACTTTTTTTTGGGGGGGGGGTAGGGGTGTCAGACCTCAAGGAAGCCAGATTTCTGTTCCTTGTACCCATTTTCTCTTTTCCAATCCCTTGGCCAGCTCATTTATTTATTCGTAAGCACACGTACAAAATGCTTTTGTTTGCAAGTCGCTTAGGGACAGTGAGGGGCAAATCTTTTCTGTGTGTTATCCATGTAGGATTGCATACCAATAAACCAAATAAACCCATCACAGGGTTTTGTTTATTTGTGACAAATCCGGAACATGCAAATCATTTGAATATGCAAAAGCCACCTCATTTTTTCAGATGTTTCTTTCCCCTGAGGGGAGATTTTAGAAATGTTTGCCTTGGGCTGCTCCTCCTTTAGAAGGAAATAACAAAAAAAGGGCTGATTTACAGATGCTTTCACAGCAAACCTGCTCCCTCCTAGCTTTTATATTTTAATCATGCAATAGGGTTGGGTGATGGAGACCTCGCTGATCTTCTGCAAAATTTGAGGATTTCTTTGGTAAATCCCGTTATTCCCCCCTCAAAATATAAAAGCCAGGGGTCCTTTTTGTTATTTTTTTTTCTTTTTAGAAGCTTCCTCTCCCCTCCATCCCCAAAATGAAATTACTTTGTGAGCAGCAGAAGAGGGAAGAAGATGGTTTGGGAACAGAAAAAGGATTATAGCTTTCTTTAAAAAAAAAAAAAAAACCATATAAAAACCACCAAACGAAGGGGTCAAAGTTCTTCCCCTTCTACTTGTCCACTGGTTTTTAAGTCCTGAGCATGTTTGACATGCGATGCACATAAAAAAATACCTCCCTAATTTTCTTGCTGAATTCTGAACAGTAAAGAAGAGCAAACCTGACTGTCATTTTTTCACCCTGGACCTTTGTCAATGTCGCTATAAGTCTGGCATTTTGTGAAAATTCGACGTATACGAAGTCAACGCCAGTGCCAACCTAGGCACCCAGTACAAGGCACTATTATATCATGTGGGTTGCAAAACCACCACACAAATAACACCACAGTGAAACATAGTATTATTCCCTCCTGTTAAGGCAAAGCTCACCGGTGAGATATAACACTGAGAGTCACCTCCTGGTTGTGTGTTTCTTGTGTTCTGCACACAAAGTTCCTCGTTTCTGAACACAAGTTCCATGGATCATCTCATCCAGAGACTGGGATGAGCTTCCCCATCTTTGGGTCTTCTCCAAAGCCTTGTCCTTCTCTCTCCCCCTCCCCATTTCTTATGATGGTCCCATGATATAAAGCCTTTGGTCTTCCTATAATTTCTGCAAGAGATCTCACCAAGGGTGGCATAGGGATCTCTTTAGAGATCCACCATTGTATGGCTACGGGACTATCACCTGCTCAGTTCCATCCAACACCGCAACTGTAGCTTACAAAGATGGCTCACCTTGATTTTGGGAAAGGAAGACCATTGAGAAAGAAGACACAGTATGACCTGTGACACACAGGTATGACCTGTGTCCAATCTTTTGCACTTTCGGACCTGAAGAAGGGGAATTGGAATAGCTTCACCATCTCCCCAGCCAAGATAAATTGCACTACAGCTCCTATAGCCAGCCAATGGTCCAGACAGCTGGTCCAGAAGGCATCCTTCCCAATTTGGCTCATGTTTGAATGAGAGAAGAGACCAAAACATCAAGGAACCACCCTCCTCTCCGAGTCCAACAAATGTTTCATGTAGCCCAAGACTGCACTCAAAGGAGAAGACCTCTAAGAGGTCCCCTATGATTTGGATTGTAGAACACGTTTCTTCTGCAACACGTAAGCGTTCATGTTGACTCCAATCTTCTTCAGCCTCTGGGTTCTCCATCCGAGAGGTGATCTGGAGAGACCGCTGAAGGTCCCACCTCCTCTCTTGTTCCTGCAGCTCAGGATAGACTATATCTATCCAATTTAGCAGTTCAAATCTCACCAGGCTGAAGGTTGACTCAGCCTTCTGTCCTTCCAAGGTGGGTAAGATGTGGACCCAAATTGTTGGGGGGGGGCAAAGAGATTGACTCTGTCAACTGCTTTGAGAGGGCTGTGAAGCACTGTAAAGTGGTATATAAGTCTAAGTGCTATTGCTAACTCTGCCCACTGCCAGCAGTTTGATCCTGACCGGCTCAAGGTTGACTCAGCCTTCTGTCCTTCCGAGATGGGTCAAATGAGGACCCGGTGGTTGGGGGGCAAGATGATGACTCTGTAAACCGCTGAGAGAGGGCTGGAAAGCACTATGAAGTAGTATATAAGTCTAAGGGATGTTGCTATTGCTATCCTTGCCTCATTCACTGAAAGGAAGACTGAAGAGCCTTCCACCCAAGGGACCGCTGGCCCAGCTTTCTCCAAGAACTGGGTTCCTAAGACCCCCAGAGGGAGGGAGTTGCTTCCCCTCAAGATAAGCAGGTGGCTTTCTTGGCATGAATCCACACCTCCCCAAGGCTCAAGGCATCCCCATGAAAACGC